CCACATAGAAAATGTCTACTTTCATTCCAGCTAAAATTACTATGTCGGTCGCCTTATTGGTCTGTGACTTTTTCCACTCTAAAATTAGTATTGACCTCAAAAGTCCTACATTGGTCGGGCTCTCCAGCAGCAACTCCAAGCACCAACTATGTGGCAAACCTATCACAATTAATGAAAGTCTACAGGTCCTGTGTGTGTGTGTGTGTGTGTGTGTGTGTAAACAGTGTAAAAAATGAATTTCCCCAAATGGGATTCATAAGAGTTCAAGTAGAGCAGTGTAACAATAAGCTCCACTGGTGCTCTGGCAGCAGATGATTCCTTACAGTAGTGTTTTTATGTAAAACTGGATTATTCTGCTTATCTTGAACAGCCATCCGATGCTCTGATACTGGGGAAGATAAAAAACGTGGAATGTGTGCTTCTAGCAAGGTAAGAAAGGGTGTTTTACTTTACTTTAAAGTGTGAATAATGAAAATGTGCTATATATTAGCACCATCTACTGGAGGAACTTGCAATTGCCAAAATACTGGGCAATATGCATTCACTCAATCTAATACTGAGGTGCACGTTAAATGCAAGCATGTATTTTCATGTTTCTGACACTGACCTAAAAATCAATATAAACACTGTATAATGAATATCCTCAGGCATGGGAGACAACACACTATAATGCCGTCCAATGTGAACTACCAGGCCAACATCTGGGCACTTAGAGAAGAGGGCTGTACACATCTGTTGGTTACCACAGCCTGTGGCTCACTCCGGGAGGAGATTCAGCCAGGAGACATTGTCATCATAGATCAATTCATTGACAGGTGAGTGGGATGTGACCACTACAGCAGGTTATGCTTTAGATTTTACATTTTTCTTTCCACGTGTTCTCAGGACGTATAGGAATGTGTATTTGTATTATATTCTTAATATATATTTGACAGGGGTACAAAATGACAACATGAATTTGTAGCAAGAACTCAATTTAGAAGCTACAGGCATTACAGCCCCTTTCCTTTCCTCCTTCTTGTTCTCTGTAAGCACATGACTCCCTCCATCACTGCCAGTACTGAGAACAATGTGGATAAATGAATTTGCTGCACACTTGACAGTCACAACAAACCACACAGAAACCAGGCAATACAAACCACCTAATGTCCAAATTTGTAAAGGAGCTTTTCACTGCTTCAGACAGTCCGATCACACTTGTAGAAGACCCTTAAATCTTATAAGTGACATTCTCATACAACAGCCTTATTCTTATTATCACAGCTATTAAAATACAACAGTCACGTAATATCATAGCCGGACTTCGCACACCCTAAATGTGTTACTGGGTTGACCTTTTTGAGATTCAGTGTTAAAACCAACACAGTATGAGGTGTATGTCAATAAAGTGTTTTTTTTTTATTAACAGTCTTTCAAATAGTTGGACCTTCTGTCGAAGGGTGTTGTTGGTTCTTATCCTGTTGTGATTGTACAGGAGCTCTGTTGCAACAATTCAAGCATCTTCCCACACATCTCACTGACAGGATTCATGTTACTGCCTGACAAGAGTGTCCAGATAGCTGAGTGAGAAAGGGCTTTACTCAAGCCAGTATTTGTTTACTATTATGTTCATTGGGGAGAATTGTTAACCTCTGCCTGAAGTTTGTTGTGCTCTCCCTATGTCATCATTTGCTTTGTGAGAATTTAAAATGCTGAAACAGCGTCTACTGTTTCACCTATGGAAACCGTAGACTTATTATGATGACTGATCATCTGGAGTGTGAACCTTTGCGACAGAGATATTTTTGTAAACATTCAGGGCTCTTTCCTGTTTGTCTCATGTTTCATTTAGTTTATCACACTCTCCGAGTTCCGGGTTCATCTGTTAGTGGCTGCCACAGAGAGCTCTTGTTCACATAAAGGCATACTTTCTCTCCCTCATTTTAGACTAGATTTTTAATTCCTGTAGTATTATGAGTTTATATTGATAGTGAATGGCTGTGCTGTTATTGTTTTTCATACCGATTTTGATGAGAGTTGACCACAGATGAACTAGGTTGATTGATTCCTGGGTTTATTTCGAGCTGTAATAAAAACCCACACTTGCTTAACTTGCGGGTAAACCTGAGAATGTCTTTCTCATTCATTGACATGGGAAAGTATATTTTCTCAGCAGTGTCTGACCTCCAGGCATATTCTTTGTGTAGCATGGCCCTGTGGGAATCAGTTAGCTGATCACACAAATTCCATTAAATAACTTAATATGTGCAGTGAGAGGTGCTGTTTAAATATGATGGACCAATGTGCTGGCATATAGCTGCTTGAACTGACATAAGTAGTAAACTGCCTTCCCACAGTTGTGTCAGTGTGTGTCCCAGTGTACTTCTATAATGCCTGCGTCATGTTGCCTGTGGCTTTGCTTTGCTCGTGTTAGTGAAGCCGATGAATAGCTGCAGTACCAGTATCGGGCACAGACAACATCATCAGAAATGAGGAAGTTACTTGTTGGGACTTGTTCAGACTTGTTTAACAGCATGTGACAGCACATTAACTGAAGGATTCACTTTAATGATGCCACCATTGTTACCTCACATCCGCATACTTCTCTATGGCTACTTCAAACCAAACATTTGGTTTCTATTAGTCCTGTCGGCTTTTTCAAATTTGAAGCATTACTGGCTCACTTCTCTTTTCATTTTTACTTTGCTTAGTACTATAGTTGATCCTGACATTTGATAAAAGTGCTGAATTTCCTCATACCGACCAAGTGGCATCTCAACAACACTGACAATAAGTTGATTTGTTTTTCATGTCACCATATATTAAAAACTATATTTAAAAACTATAGGAATGCACAGATCAACTAACAGTCAGATACAATTCACAACTGCCTTCTGCTGTTTAAAAAGAGTAACAATCGATGGATTGATGATTCATTTTTCATTTGCATCTTCATATATTTGTATCTTAATTTAACTGTGATATATCTTTACATTCCTATTGAAGCGTTTCAGTAATTCAAAATTGAAATGAGTGAATATTCAAAACTAAAAGTAGCCCCGGGCTTATTGCTGGACAAACCAAAATGATCTAATCTACTAAAGCACTTACTCGTCCATTCTCATTTAAAAAACAAAAACACTGAGTCAGTCCAAAATGGGTGCATGGGTAATATCCACACTGCATGTTGTACCTCACTTTCCCAGTATATGTCTAATGCTTAGTTGGCCATAGCACATTCTTTTTGCATTTTAGGAATAATTAGAATATTTGATAATTATAGGCTGTGGAAGCCATTCTTTGCAACAATGATTCTGAAATGACATTGCTAATGAAATGCCAGGCCAAGATAACTCGATTTCTATAGCATAAATAAGCATTGTACTCAGCTCATAGTTTATTCCACACACTACTGTTATTGATTTTTCAGCAGGGTGGAGCTGCAGCTGGCTCAAACTATTTAAGCATTGACTTTAGTCTTCCAATGCCAGGGTTATGAGTAATAGATAGGGTTGGGCATCAATTTACAAGATTATTGTTGACGGAGACATTCATATTTTGAATGTTTGAGATAATTATGTTATGACTTGGTAATCCTGGGGGGAAACAGAACAACCAAAGTTATGCCATGATGCAGCACTACTGAGAAATAGGTTTGATCATCTCTCCCCATAATTATGTATATACATATTAGCTAACACTAGAATGGAATTTAGTATCTACAAAACAGGGAGACACAAAATCCAAATGTTCTCAGGTCACTGGGCTAATTGAGTCAGTCTCTTATGGTCTCCTGACCTGTCGCCATACAGAGCTGAAGGGAGGCAGGCTGGCACTGTGCCTGGTGGAACTCTACTGACTCAGCAGAGCTCAGAATTGAGCAACCATTGTTGGCATGATGCAAGAGATTAGGCTGCTGCTGCCTTCTTTTAATGCTTTTATAGTCCTGGATGTGAAAGGACTGTCTGTTACATGGTCTATAATTTAATGATGGAAACAGTCAAACCACTCTGCTAAACTTTCAGTTTTCATCACTGAAACAGTGGCCGCTTTAGGAGATTTCAAACAGGCAAATTGTTGTGTAGTTTATGATTGTTGACACAAATAACCTTTACTTTGCTGCGTGGTTCTTGATATCATTAGTGTTCATGTTGACAGTGTTTCCTATAATTGTTTTGTTCACTTGGCCATTGCTAAATATATTTGCTCTTTTTAGTGTTTCGGTGTGTAGACATCTGTTTTCTGCCTTTTGAGTTATGTAGTCATCTGTAATTTCCCTGGGTGGCCTTGACAATAACTTTCAGTACTTCCTGTTTACTTCTTTTTGCCAGGACTACAAAAAGAGCTCAGACGCTGTATGACGGGCAGCCCACCAGTCCTCCAGGAGTGTGTCACATCCCCATGGCCGAGCCTTTCTGCAACAGAACCAGAGAGGTGAGTCCTCATATGCCCTTACTTATATCCCATTTTATACATGTCACCTGTACTCCCTGAGCTTTAGCAATTGCTTGTTTTACAATGTTTTTTAAAATTAACTTTGAATGTTAATTTTAATTTTGAATGTTAATTTTAATCTATGTCTAATGTATGTCTAATGTATGTATCTAGTGCATGCTGCTACTGGATGCTTGAATTTCCCTCGGGATAAATAAAGTATCTATCTATCTATCTCTACTTGTATTTAACTCTAAAAAAAAATTTGTACTTCTAATTTGCTTCTAATTACCCCAAATTCCCGAATGGATTTGGTGTCACAGCTGCATTCTTGCACTTATTGTTTTAATTGTGCATAAATATTACATTTATTTATGTAACATAAGTCAGCTCGACCAAAATAGACCAAAAATTCACATCCTGTAAACATGGCTGACAGCTGAACCACATCTGATGGACATTAAAGGGGTGCATTTAACAAAAAAAAACAATTTAACATTTTTTTTTTTATATTATATCACTTAAGGAAGTTAATATTTACATACATGAAATATTTTGTGGCAAAAGTATTGTAAAAGTAGTGTCATTGGGGCTTAATTGTGTGAGAATATGTTCAGAACTTATATGTAGGATATAGCTGCAGTTTTTGAACTTTAATTTGGATTCAACATTTTTAAATAACAGACACACCTGTACTTGATGCAGGACCTTGCTTTACTATGTTTGTGACGCAAACTTTTCGGTTGCTTTTACTACAAATGTTGCTGTTCAAAGATCCCTTCCAGACATGTATTAGACACATACACAATCACGCTTGCTCGAGCAATAATGTGTCTGTTTTTTATTTAGGTTTTGGTGGAGGTGGCGCGGACCCTGGGGATCAAGTGCCATGTACGAGGGGCTATGCTTACTATCGAGGGACCCCGTTTTTCCTCGCGGGCGGAGAGCCTGATGTTCCGCCAGTGGGGTGCTGATGTCATCAATATGACCACCGTGCCAGAGGTGGTCCTCGCCAAGGAGGCCGGCTTGTGCTATGCCAGCATTGCCATGGCAACAGACTATGACTGTTGGAAGGAACACGAAGAGGCGGTGAGTGGCAGACTGGAAGTCATAACAGCTGGTTTTTATTACTTTGATGTCTCTTCTGTCCTTGTTTGTTGGAGGAAGTGTCAACAAAAACGGGATGCACGGTTGGTGAACTTTAGGTGACGTGACTTCCTTTCAATTCTGTCTGTCAAGCCAGCAGTAACAAATTTAACTATAAGCTATTTGCTTCTAGTTGTCCTAGATATCTTCAGTTACCAACTTTACCAAGTTAGTATTTTTTAGCATTCCCCTTAACATCACTGGAGAGCTTTTGGATAAAAGCTATGAACTGGGTACCAGCAGGCTAATAATATGAGCTAAATATAATACTTTATTATTTGTGTACTTTAAACTCCACCACATGTAGTCATCTGGTTTTATACTTTTACACTCTCTGCTTTTACTGTGGTGATAAATTGATTACAGTGTTTCTTTTGACAGCTTGGCTTGCCAGCTAGCAGCTGAGCTAGATGGTAGTTTCATTTTTGTTATTATGCTTGTAGTAAGTCCACATTAACTTGTTCTCCTACTTCATAGGAGTGGCAGCTCTACTAAGACACCTGACCCAGATCCACCTTTGCTTATTGCCAGCTTACTAGCCAAGTTGCTAAACAAGTTCATCGGACAGCATGCTATCTCCATGACATTACCAATACATGAAAACCCTTCATACACATATTCTCTTGACATTTTCTAGTCTAGGTCATAGTATCCTAAAATGAGAAGTATCTCTGATCATTCTAGTCTTTACTTTATATATTGTTTTACTCTGTGTGACCATGTCTTTCCCCAGTTCATTTCACCCAATTCCTTTACTGCTTAAAAAATCTCTCTGGAATTTCCCCTCCTTATTTACCAAATTCCTCCTAATCAGACAACAGATTTTCTAAACTATTTGAACAGCACTTGGCAAGGTCACTTTTGATCTGTGATTCCCAAAGTAGGGTTCAGGAACCCTGAGGGTCTATGATACATAATCATTGGCTCTGAAAAATCATTTCTTCAGATAAAATTGTGTCGCCTGTGCTATTAAAATGCTCAGGTGTGGGCCGCTTGTGCCAGAGTGTGCAATTAAACAATTATTGCACAATTACATCCAATCCTCCCATGTGAATTCTGAGCTAGTCCTGTGAATGCAACACAACAGATGAAGGTGATAATGTTTGCTCTCCATAGAGAAACATATTCATCATGGCAGTCAGACTCATTATAAAAGTTTTGTTTTTTCTGAGACAAACTTTTGTTGTAATTTCTTTTCTTTTTTTTAATGAATTTATTTTTTAATATTTATTTTACTTACATGCAGGAACTTTGGTGCTTTGATGCATACACTAGTCTTAGTCTAATAGTCTAATTCTCTGAGTTGTGCTTGTGACAGTTGTACTTATCTTCTTCTACTTGTGTGCATGAGGTCCTCCTTACTTTGGTCACTTTAAATGTATTCATTATATACATAAAGTAAATAATAAATAAGTTAAGTTGTTGTTTAGGTACACACTCAGTGACTCACAAGTTGGAATTTTCTTTTTTTTATTGTTTCCTAAAGCAAGGAAGCAAGGCTTTGTAATGGTAATGCTTTAATAATGAGAGTTTCAATTACTTAACATACCATCTTGACCTTACTGCTGTGTTTACAAATACTTCACTAAAACATTACGTTAAGAAAATAAGAATTTTCCCAGACCAGATGTCCCAGAGGTTTTTGCCATCTGTGCTTCACAAGCAGACTGCTGCATCTGTGGCTTCTTATGGCTTCCGAGTGACCTACTCTCTGTCAGACACTCTGGGTAATGCAATTGATAGACTGCGTGTGGGCGAGTTTTGGCTTATTTGTCACTTATCCAGCCCAACTCACAACTCCACTTCCGAGTTCCTGCAGCTGACCTCTTCCCCCTCCTGTTGCAGAACACCCGCCACATCCTTCCGACCCCCCCCAACTCCCTCCCACTCCCAGTCTCCTACTCTCCCCCCCCCCCCCCAGTCAACTTGCCTGCCAGCCTCCGGTGGAAGCCCTGCCAGAGGAGGTTGAGTCAGACTGAGTCATCAGCTTCACTGTCTTCATCCTGGCAAACACCACAAAAACACGAACCTAGTCATTGAATGTGACATGAAAACAAAGAACTCAAGGGAGAGGTTAATGAAGGTTACAGGAGGTAAACATGAGCACAGGATGGAAGTAATGTTGTAACTTACTGTACACTCTACTTCTGGCTAATAATAATATATTATGACAGATACTTTGTCTTTAACATGTGACTGAGGCCGTAGCTTTACAGCAGATAAAGAAGCAGGCTTATTGCATTGTTTTGATATCTTTCCCGTACTTTGTAGTGCTGTTAGTTGTGAATAATGTGATGATTACCAGTGTCATAGACATGACAGTTGAAATGGCTCAAGACTCATCACTAATACCACATAATGAGTCATTGGAGTACAAGGCACAGCTGGCTGCTTGAAAAACATTATCCTGAACTTCCCATCTGCACTGATGTGAATAGTGTATCATATTGATGACTATTGAAGTCGGGTTGTGACGGTAATTGAAAAACTCGCTAATAATAATTATAATAATAATGTGCTCTTTCTTGAAAGAAATACGCCCAGGCGATAAATCAGAATCATCATGATTATACCGTTTAATTGTTGTATGGAATTGTCATTTTTGTCCAAGTTACAAGTCCAAGAAAATTATTAAAAAATAAGCAGTGTATAAAGATATGGCAAATCTATTAAACAACAAAACAAAATAAATACATGAAAAATAAATTCATGTTTAAAGCAAAATGAACTGTTAACACAACATGTATTAATATCATGCTATTGATTTCACACACACACACACACACACACATCATACATTGCTGATTCCATAAAATGTTATTCTCAGTGCAAAAATCCTCTTCTAGCATCAAGGGCACATGTGAAAGTATATTTTTGGGAAATACAAAGTGACTGTGACTTTTATAGGAAGTGAAATTTGCACTGCTGTAAGTGATTTTTACAAGGCAGCTGTTTTTTCTTTCCTTGTCCTAGGTCTGTGTTGACAACGTACTGAAGACGATGAAGGAGAACGCCAACAAAGCCAGCAGTATCCTGCTAACTGCCATACCCCAGATTAGTCAGATGGACTGGGCTCAGACAATGAAGACCTTGAAAGTAAGTTGTCAACTTTATGATGATTCATTTCCCTCAGCAAGTATTTGGAGAAGTTGTGAAGGATGGTCTGTTTACCTGTTAAGTCGACTGTCTTGAACTGAGGTTTATTTTATACAGTTGTAAGTTTTGGCACCCCTTAACAAATATCATATTATGGTGATTTCTTTTCATTGAAAAGATGTAAACACAGCCTTCCAAGGATATGGAACACAAGCTGTTATTATAATAAGATATACTATTTCAGCAAACATTCATGCATAGATTTGCTGGAGTTTAGTGGAATCCATTCTTCCCTCCACCTGTGCAATGCTTGCTGTGCCACTGGCTGCAACACAACCCCACAGCATTATAGATCCACCTCCATGCTTAACAGTTGAGGAGTTGTGCTTTGTATGAAATGCTGCTCCTGTTTTCTCCAAACACCCCTTTGCTGATTGTAGCCAAGAGTCCTATTTTTTTAACTTCTTTAGTCCACAGCACTTGTTTTCACAACACATCAGGCTTCTGTAGATGTTCTGTTGCATACATCTGACGTCGGGTTTTATGATGTGGACGTAGGTAAGGTTTTCTTCTACTGACTCTTCCATGTAGGTTTTCTTTGTGCAAGCAGCTGTGGACAGTGACAACTCCTGAGTCTGCTAAAGGTTCCTGCAGGTTTTTTGCATTCACATGGGGGTTTTCATTTGTCTTTCTCATCAGCATATGAGCAGTTCTTCTGCAGTGCTTCTAGATCTTATCTTGACCTCCACAGTTCCCCTGAACTGCCATCTCTCAATAAAATTTCACACTCTGGAAACTGCAAGCTGACAATGTAGCCGTCTTGTAGTCGTGGGCATCAATTACTTTTTTCAGAGTTTTACACAGCTGCTTAGAGGAACCCATGGTTGGTGAGTGTTTACAAAAGGTTTGAAGAGTCTTGAGTATTTGTAAAGCTTTGAAATTGGCAACAGCTGATGCTTCGTAATCAAAATTGTTGACATGCCTCAGGCCTAACAAGTGTATATATATATATATTTATA